TAGAGAAAATGAATTACTACGACAACAATTACGTAAATATGTAACCGCAGTACAAATGTTAAGAAGAGATTCTGACGTCGCTATAGTATCCGAAGAGGATCCACAATTAGATTATCATAGTGAAGCTCAACAGTATGAAGAAAAATTAATTCAAGTTGCAGAAATGCATGCAGAATTAATGGAATTTAACGCTAGATTAACTTTACAATTGAATGACAGGTACAATTATTACACATTTCATTACCGATGATATTTATTTTGCATATTAATATTTTGAAAACTTACAGGGATAGATTAGTTAAACTGTTGCAAGCTGAATTAGAGTGCCTTCGCGGCCCCTTAAATGAAGATGACTTACCATCAGAACCTCCATGTCTCATTCATATATGGATTCCATCTGCGTTTCTTACTGGACAGCCGTCTGATATTCACCACGTTTATCAGGTATTCAGTATAAATATAAGAAAATAAAATATGAACTTCATATAAAATAATCATTATTAATGATATCTATTGTTTCTTATAGATATATGTACGTATTAGAGATACTGAGTGGAATATATATAGAAGATACGCGCAATTTCATGCATTGTATAGAGAATTAAAGAAACACGATGCAATTGTTACTACTTTCGAATTTCCACCAAAGAAGACAATAGGAAATAAGGTATAGGCATATTACACAGAATATTTTAAGAATATAACACGTAGTTTACTTCTACTTTCTTTCCTTCTTACTTAGGATGCAAAATTTGTAGAAGAAAGACGACAAAAATTACAGCACTGGTTGAGACGAATTGTTGGAAGATTAGCACAGTGTTCTCCAGCATTTGCGTCTAGACCAAGTAGACAAACACTTATATCCTTAATGCCTTTCTTTGGGTAATTCACTTCACAAATATAATTTAACATTAAATAATTCTTTTAAAAATTTACTTTTAAAAATTTACAGAAGGGTATTTTTGATATATTTATCTTATCATATACTACTTCTTTTTAGTGATAACCCTAATACTGAGGATTCGAGGAAAAATAACTCTACAAGAAACACGTTTTCTTCTTCCCCTCAATACATGGGTTTATAATTATTAACGTTTTTATAGACAATTTGTACATACACGAAGCCTTTTTAATTTAATGTATAAAGGTTGCTCTATATATTATATATATTGTTGACAATTGAAGAGATGAGCATATGCCTGTATGTATACAACTATAATTAACATACATTCACACATATGCTGTTTATAGACGATATATGTATAAAAATAATATGTAGTAAAAATAATTAAAAGTTAATCCCTTTTTATAAAATGTATTATTTTTTTACAAACATT